AAATTCATCGATGTTGGTTCAGTTGACCTTTCCTATAGAAATGATGTCGTTGTACTAGTGAACTGGTAGAACTACATTCGTCTACCGTAACTATATGACAAAACACTGAAACATTCTGAATACGTTTTGCATGTACTATTGTTAGACAGATTAGTGTTCATTAGATGACATTTCCTATACGAAATCGTTTACTTAAACTGTGTATTTGATAAAGCTTAAAAAGAGTTTACGAACACGTAGGCGCTAATCACATAATGACTATTAATCTAAAATGAATTTTGATGGTTTGATCACTTGACCTTTGCTATGGAAATAAGGAATTGAAACAAAAGAATTTAAGTCAAATTGTGGGTGGCCCTGAAAAGGGCCTTTACTCGTTCTCTTAGCAGTTCCGAATTTCATGAACAATGGCGTTGCTATTATTCGATTATAGCTCCGTACATGAGACAGTGGATTCCATGGACGTGTGGTGATGGGTCGTAGGCACAAAATAAATGAAGCATTGCTTCGCATGGACAAAAAATCCAGGTACTTCCATCAGCAGTTTCATGTGGCGGTTGCGCAAGATTGCAAATATCACAAAGTCTGTTTTCATATGCGTTTTCGTCATTGTCGTCGTCTCGTTCAGTGAACTCCTCTGAGTTCATCGAAACAATTTCTTCCTCGTCATTGCTTAACGTTGCATCTATATTGACGTTATTTTGATAGTTGGTAACTTACAAAATATGAAGGAAGGACATGGAGTGTTCACGAAAGTGCTTTATGAAAAATTATAATAACACTAATCAAATTACCTCGTTCATCTACTCGGCTGTGAGGAACCGCTAGGTGTTCTACGGCCATTTCTCCAACATACAAATTTAATATACGGCTTCTAATGACTATGGAAACGAGAATCCCTCACCACATAATGGCTGTACGTGACTCTTTCATACGTTCTAATGGCGCTCTTCAACGCTTCAAGAGATTGTAACACTACGAGATAGAATGTGCTCAAGAACGAACAGGTTATCGGTTTCTGTGACAACGTGAGGAACGACGGAGCTCGTGCTTTGAATGTTACTACCGTCCATAATTGTAAGAAAATGTGCTTTGTCGTCATGTCCTGATATTTTTATATTGATTTTAAGAAATAAACGACCGATTATATTGAACTTAAAACTTGTTATTTGATTGGACGAAACAGAATGAATTATTGGAAGATGTGGATGAAAAATTTTTTCAAAAGGGATTAAAAAAATGGCCGTGCAGTAAATGTTTAGCATAAAGATGGATGTCAGCATTTAGATAATCTGACAGGTGTCACGTGAGTTATATATCTCCCTATCCTTTTTATTATTACTGATTATTGGTTGTTCATTGGCCGTGCATTTAACGTTAACCTGCTACATAGATGGAGCATTTTATGTATCGGAATAAAAAGCAATTAAACGATACTAGTAGGCCGAAGAAATAACACTTTTAACGACATCAAATTCTAGATAGAAGTGTCAGAAAACAGAATTTCGATCTTAGGTATCTTACTAGAGTGAACAAAAACAAAGGCCGAAATTCCTGGAATCTATTCGTGATTACGGGTTCGTAGGTGAGCAATGCTGAAGAATCTCGTAGTGGAACAAAACAACCGTCCAGTGCTTGAGGGTTTTCAATCGTTTTCTAACTTCGTGATTTCGATGTAAACCACCGATCTTTACAATCCCATAGTGGTAAACACACAATCGTTAAATAATCAAGTGTACAAAAAACCAACTCACTCTTATTGGTTACTAAATTACCACATTGACGCTGCGACAGTACACAAAAACTGTGTACTGACACTATTCGAAACAACCGAAACTCCATGTTTTACGGAACACTGAACAAACTCGACTTCTTTTAGTTTTACGTAAAACTCACTGTCAAAAGTTTGCAAATTAATCACTTTAATTAATTTTATACTAAAAGATACAACCGCAAAAAAACACAAATCCAATATCATTTTCAAAATAAATGATACCAAATGTGATAAACTCCAGTTTGACATCAGATCGTACTTAAAGAATAATCATTTTAATTTTGAGTATTTTCAACAATTTAACTTAACAATTACGCCAAAACCGTTTTTTAATTTGCAATCAATGATCTTTTGTTGGGAATTTAGTGGTATGCTTGGTGAAATGGAATAAGTCACATGGTACCACACAAAAAATTAGACAAAAGTATAGTCAGGTTATTACTATGAAATAAACAGTTCATGCAGCCAAGGTCAGCTATGAAATGTTAATGTCGATCTGGATACCGAAAAATTAACTGGATGGATTACTATTATTAAGCTTCTTACACAGTCTTTATCGTCATCCTCTCTATTTTTAGGCTGATTATGCATGTTAAGGTGAACAAGTAACTGAAATCGATCACTCAACATAACAAGCATGCACCCTCTTTTTTGAATCTAGTTGTCAACTAATTAACTTAAGTTAACCTAAAGGAACAAATAAAACAAACTTGGTTTATATGTTAGTCAACATTTTAATTTCAATCTATGTAAATCGAAATTGACAGTTTAGTAAAAATGGAATCCAACAAATTATAAAGCCATAAGTTGCTCTGATCTCAAATTTAATGTCGAGTATATTTTATAATTGTGTGAACTGATACTTGAAACAAAAATATTGTAACTTACAACTCTAGGAATAAGATAAAAACTGATGAGACATGAAGATTTTTTTGGTAAATGCATTGGTATGAATTTATAGTTTTTTGTTTTCGATATTCAGGGTTTTATTACGTTCACTCATTGCTAAGATATTTTTAACCTGAGTGGCTTGCCTCAATAAAGCTATTTCGTAACAAGCTTTATAAAATGAGGGTTGTGGTTTGCATTGGCTATCTTGTATCAGCAGTTCAACAAATAACACTTTAGTGTTTGAGGCGATTGGTACTGAGTCTGAACCTCAGCCTGATCGTCCAATATCCCCACAGTATTATTTGAAAATAAATATATACAAAAAAATATATACAAAATAAATCACTGAGTAATAACAATCCTAGTGTTATATTTCGCCTTTGTCCTGCCACTTTCTATCAAAAATTTTGTATTTGAATATTATGAACAAACTCAATAGTTAACTTTTATCTACCAAACTTTACATTAACAACTTAAAATGCAGAGCAAAAAGATATGGAACATAAATGGTATATACATTTGTGAGGTGTTGTTGTCTACGAGTTGATTATTTATATTCAACAGTCGGGGGAAAATACAAGAAAGGTCGGATAAACGGATCTTGTGATTGTAAATATATGTTGCTATGGTGAAAAAGCAATCCATCTTAGCTATCAGCCAATACTGACCACACACCAAGTGTATAAATGAACTTTATGGACTAAATGAATTTACCATAACTATTTAAGGTACTAAATCTACACATCATGGTGACCAGTTAATGAATTTTGTTAAAATATCTCTCTTGTTCATGCACTAAATAATGTTCACTTTCAGGATGGTTTTACCAAAGTTCTTCTAGATAGCCTGATATAATAAACAATGAAGCCTGACAGTTTCGGTATTTACTGAATAACCCAAGAAAATCCGGATCCTTTAGCAATTTAAGTTTTCAGTGTACTTTAAAAGTGTGTATTTGTGAGAAAGATTTTGTATATTTTGTATAATTTTATTGCGTAAAACACCTCATTGTTTCTGACTAGATATTTATATTTTGAGAGTTAACTGTCATCGTATATATATATGTCGTTATTATGAGTTATTGAAGTACCCCATGCTGTGGTAAATGCTACTTATACTGACAAGTATAAGTAGTATATAGCCCCAATCAGAAGTAGAATGCCTGCCAGAAGATTGAATCGAAGATAACAGGAAGGGAAAGAGAGAGCAATTGTAATAACGACAGAATTAGAAGAATTATGAAGCACTTACATGATAACTGAAGGAAGATGTGAAATAATGTATTTAGTTTACGGTTTTCATATTTTACAAAGGCAATCTGTGACTTTGCATTACACAGCAAATTGGTTTTCCCCATTTGAGTTCTCGTTCACTATGATATTAGTATGAAATAGCATTCTCTGGTTCCGAATGTTTTTCCAACTGAGATCCGTTAGTGAAGGATGTTGTAAACGAACACTCATCATATTTTCGCTAGTGACTACTATCAGGACGAGTTACTGAGCTTCTAATTAGAGGTTATGTTCATTGAAATGCTGACTTGTCAGGAGTGACGGTCGTAGTCAATGGTGCTGGGTGATATTCATATCCAATCATGGTTCGACTGAAGCGGAAGGTCAGTGCCGTTGAATACTAACCAAGTGGTTCTAATGGTCAAATGCTAGCAGCGATATCTGAAGTTCCTAGTGTCAATCTGTGATGAGATCCTTAGTGAGTGATGCTGAGGAGTACAAAATAGGGACGAAACACCTATCTAATCCTCCTTTATTTTCGGTATTACCCCAGATATGACCGACTCTTAGCGAATATCACTTACGAATAACCTATTAGTTGTTTTTGCCAAACATATGACAGGGTTTTCACTGAAATACACGACTCTAAATACGATATTATTGGCAACCCTGATCACTTATGTTTTACTGAGCCACAAAAACAACAGAATGTCAACTCCTGATATTTGATTAAGAAAAATTATTATTCAGCTGAAGTGTAGCGTTTAACATTTTAAAACAAACTGAAACCTCAACCGAAAAAAAGAATGATTTATGCTGATTGGTTCAACAGTAACATAAATAGTTCAATAACACAATCAAAAAATACTTTACGATGGACCAAAACATGAAACAGACAACCTTTATTACCTTCAACCAAAAAACTCTAAAATAATGATGTCTAGTTAGGTTATTATTTTCAATAGTTATTTTGTATTATTTTAAAAATAGTATATCCAAAGATTAATCCCGATCACAGTCACTATTGAGTTGGTTATTATTAGACTATCATCTCAAGAATAACTTACGAAAACAGAGAAAACTGACATTTATTTCCGGCTTACCTCTGTCAAGAAATTCATAAAATCCTATAACTTTTTGCTTCTCTTTAGTGATCTGATCCAATTCAATAATCATGACACGTCCATACGAATGAAATTCATGAACAGGGAGTTGATTTAAGTGTTGGCCGCATAATTCATAATCCGGTTGATCATTACTCATCAATTCTGCTCGTTCTAACTGATGATAAACTTTAAATTGTGTAGTACATCTAATGAGACGAAGATAAGAAAAATATGTTTAACAGAATTGGAAGTTTCACGTCACCTTCTGACCTTGTTAAATAACCGTCAAATACCAGAAGTCATTGGGAGGCGGATTCGTTCTTGTATAGGAATTCGCAGCAGAAACCAAACACATGAATTTCAGATCCAGTGATATGTTACATTTGGAGGCGTCAGTCAATATAGATTTATATATCTAAACTTATTGGATTAGTCTTTACAAGTCCATTTTAATATTATCTATAAAACCATGTTTATTCACACCATTATATGACTTCAAATCACGAATGTTGAGAAGTTGGTATCTTGATGGCCTATGTCCAAGAAATGGAGAACTGGTTTTTCAATCCTATTTAGCTAACTTAAAATATATAGAATAAACTAATTACATAACCAAACAGGTATACTTCGTAAAAAAACAAGTTTCTCTTTAGTTTTCTTAAAATAGGTCTTCGTTTTTCAGAAAAAAATTTTTGGTGAACGTCATTGAAAATAGTTACACATAGAGCTAATCTGGAGCGAATGTCGGTCAAAACCCGTGGTAAATGAGCACAGTTATGCGTTGTGTTAGCTACTTTGTCTTATAAAAAACCCACTTAAAACGCTAAACAAAAAACGTCAAGTAAAACTTTTAGACTCTGTCTTGAGAGTTGAGAGGTCTTCTCACAGAACAGTGAAAGCCGAAATTCTTAGAAAGTTATAAAGCTGAGTCCTTTTCTGACAACCAGGGTAAAAGGTAATATATGTAGATGGAATGCCCGAACAATATGCGAGACCTGTAGGGTATTTCGTGTATCTATAACAAGAAAAAGTAATCTGATCGTGCATAGAACAAATGGAGGAAATCTGAGCATCGTGATATGGGACAGCAGAAGGTATGAATGCATTGTGAAGTAAAATACATTGGTAGAAAGAAAAAAGAATGACTAGGGACTGGTAGATCTATGTGCATCAAACAACATGGCTATAGGAGCCACGATTTTCCACTTACACACACAATGCTAAATAGGTTTCACCGTACCACACTATAGGAAACCAGATCAATCAAACATTCATAAGTGGAAGATCCAGAAGGTTCAGTTAAGACACAAGAACAAAAAGAGAAGCTAACATAGGTTTGGATCATGCAACATTCAACAACAGCCGAACGAGAACTAACAATTAGAGTAGGCACTAGGAAATATGTGTAAGACCTGGTAAACGTGGAGAAGGAAATACGAGAGAACTATGATATAACCAGGAAGCTTGCTAGGAAATATCGTAGACCAGAGCAGATATTAAGAAGCAAAGAAAGGAAATCAATAACTGAGGTTCAAGAGCAAATAAACTGATGGATAGATCACTTCAAAGGATTCTTGTTGTTATGACCTTGACGTATGGTTTTTCTATCACACGATTTATCTACCAATCCGAATACGACTTATACGAATCTTCACACTAGGCCAACCAATGACGTTCAAACGGTGTGGGCAGTTTAGCGTCCTTATTGGTCCTATGTCCTCCGAGCCCTTCCACTTGAGTCCAGAACACAATACCAGCTTCCGTAATATGAATCGAATCATTTATTTCAGGCATACTTGGTTTATAAATCAATCAGACAGACCGCAACGTACCATAAAATAGGAAATAATATTTGTACACAAATAAGCCCAAAAAGTGGCTGTGAATGTGGGAGGCAGTAGTTAATAAACTGAACATAACTTAAGAACCGTAAATCGTACAATAATAAAATATAGGTCAAAATAAAGCTTATAATAAGAGGAATATAAATATACATAGTGTAATTGTTGAGTAGTTATACAATAAGAATATTTATAGAATATTAGTCCATCAATAGTCCTTGGAAGTTACCTGTAATTTAATCTTCACCGGATATAACACTTGTATAGACAAGCCCATGAAGGGACATTTTATTAAATGTGAGAGCTACAGAAGGATCATATTGATAGCACTATGGAAAGTTTTCAATGGTGTAGCTGAACATAATGAAAGAGTTAGTAAAAACCTAGCTCAGAAATAAAGGATAGATCATGAAATGGACGATTCGTGATCTTAAGGATCATTATTGATTAATAATAAAACGAAACTCAGTTTTCTCTATAATGATAATACATTCGACAGTGTGCACAGAAAAACCTTTTGAAATTTTTAAACTCTATGAAGTACCAGAGAAGATTGCCGAGGTCATACGGAACCCCTACAATTGACAAAGCCGCAATATCATGCGTGAAAGTCGGCTCACACATGCATTCCAAGTGAGGAATGTTGACAGCAGCCTACTCTCACCCATTCCCTTTCTAATAGCTGTAGATGAGATTATAAATACCTTCACATCTCAGAAAAAGCACAGAAGAAAATAAACATCTTGGACATAGCTGGATGCTTCTGACTTTACAAATGACTTGACCCTTCTATAGCATGTATAACAACGAATCCAGACAACGCCTGATACTGAATAAAAGGCTTTTAAAGCAGTAAAAATCAGACTTCACAAATAGCAAGTGGAATGTTGAGTAGCTTTCAGATCCCTGGCTGGGTCCTTAAGCCCCAAGAAAGGTAATGGGTTTGTGCAAAGTTAGGTAATCAACATTTCGAATATCATAAAACTGAGTAGCTTAAATAACGCCGGGATTTTTTATTAGATAGATCACGTTTAAGATAAACCTTATTTATTTTTTAAATTGGCTTACTTATTACTTCCAATTTTTCGTATTTTCATTGGCAGGCTGAATTCCAGTAAACGTACATGTACGATCTCTTTTAAATCACCAACGAATGTATAAATTATGCATTTGGATGTTTTGTTCCAAAATAAATTTAAATGCAAGTTTGTTATAAATTCAAACGAACCATTACTTAATCCAGTGCTTTGAAATAAATAACATAAACAACCTAAAAGTTAAAAATGCATTACGCTTTAGAAAACTTGGAATTTAAGTAGATTGATCATGTAGAGATTATTTCATGTATAGGTGTCATTACCAAGGCTTGACTTGATAATTTCAAATATATTGAGCACTGGATGTACTGTTATTAATAAACATAATATATTTGCAATATCCCAATGAGTAGAAAAATTAAGTTTTTAAATTTTACGACGTTTCGTAACTTAGTGTAAGCCACTTCTTCAGTAAAAAAATAAAGAGAATAAGTTAACCCAAGTTTAAATAGCGAGGATGTTTTTTACGAAAATGATAGGATGAAAAGCGAATGTCCGGTGGACATGGAGGTTATATCTAGGGGAGTTGGAAAACCGTAATTCCAAACCAATGGTCACATGGGCTCCACGATCCTGAAGGGACAAGTGGAGTATGAACCTATTCTTCGCCACCGGCTACCATGCGACTGCATCGCCTGATGTTGCTCCACTGCCTTGTGGGCTAGACCTTTCAGTCAAAGGCTCCGGGAGTGGTCCCTAAAAATACCGTCTGAGCACCCGAGCAGTATCACAGCCCACACACAAATCAAATGACTTGTGTGGCTTATATGCATCCGGTGCCCATTTGTACCAATATTTATGTGTTCAAATAAATAAATAATAAAATTTTAAATAGTACAGAAGAACAAAGTAAGGATATTCGATGCAATCAATAAAAAAACAGGTCTGACCAAATCGATTTCATGTCATTCTGGTCAAAGCGATTTATACGGCGCATAATTGTGTATTTGTGTGTGTATGTATGGCTAAGGATGAAAAAACGTGACATTTGTGGTGCGAAACCATAGGGTTGAATTCGTATGTATGATAATCGTGTGAAATGTGGTTAGGATCAGACATGGTATCTCGGATAGATGGTGGATAGCGAGGCCTTCCTTTCTATTGCTTAATCCTACTGCCCTCAAATCACTTTGACCGGAATGACATGAAACTGATTTGGTTAGACCTGTCTTTGATTGGTCGCACTGAATATTCTTACTTTGTTGTTTTATATCATTTAAACGTTGGTTAATTTAATCTGTTTATTTATTTACCGAAGAAGTGGTTTACACCAAGACATAAAACATCAGAAAATTTAAAAACGTAATTTTTCTACTCGTGAGATCGAACCAAAAATCTCCAGACTTAACGCCTAAATACTACAATTACTTCTAGATAACATTCTAAATTCCTGGTAAAAAGGCGTTAACAGTGTAGTTCAGGCTTGTCAGTTATCAGTGATTTTAGATGATCATTGAATCACATCATAAAGTGATTGAATTTGAAAATATGAATAATTTACCATGACCAATCGGTTTTGTTTTCTAAGTCACAACCGCGATACTTGAAGTTCCTGGATTCGATCTGTGGTGAAGTCATTCCTGGTGATTCCTGTCGTCTTACACTATAACTAAATAACTGTTCAGTGTTCACGAATTTCTAGTGGGACACCAAACGAAGTGAATATATGACTAATGCTACGAAGAAAACTTGGAACGGTTAAATTCAAAATTAGAATTCAAAAAAGTATGGAAGTCCGCTTTCTGTTGATAAATGTCTAGAAATTACGACCAAATAAAGCCAGTCTCTGTTATTCAGCGTTATTTATAGACGCGAAAGAACTTTCAAAAAATTCAATTTTATAGTAAAAACGCTGTGATCCTTAATTTCTTATCTTTTTAAAGTGAGGCATATCTGCTACTAATGACTGGATTCAATATGATTGAGTGTGCCCATCTACTCTTCTTGCAATTATACACATCTGCACTAGTTTCTCAGCCGTCGTTAGTTTTAAATTTTGATCAGAAGTTAATATTGGTTATTTCTTACTGTATATATGGTATCGCTATTCATGTAAACGTACTTTTTTTGAAATATAGAAATCACCTCTGAAATCTCGTCTTATTTCTCTTCAACTACATATGTTTGTCAAGGTTGTAGTGTTGTCGTATATTAGTCTCACACTTATAAAGGTTATTTCAATTCCATTCATATTAGAATAAGCTCCTAATCTTTCCTACTGTTGAAATAAATTAACATCACAAGTATTTTATAATTGTTGTGCTTTGAAGAATAACTGATACAATTTGAGTGTCAACTCAGTGATCTTAATTTATCGTGTTTGGTGTGAACCCTGAAGGGCCTGAGCTTGATATTTAACGGTGTCGTAAGTGTTCATTGTCTAGGAATAATGAATATCAAAAATCTGTTCGATATTTTCTGATTTAACAAAAAGGGAATTTCGGAAGCATAAGATGGACTTTTAGCCTTCGATGAAACTTTATATACTGAATCTTGAACAAATAAAAAGACAACTATTCAGCTGAAATTTAAGAACATAACCTGTAAACATTTAGAAAACTCGATAAAATAAGCAATACGTTGTGATTCTGACCAATTAGATTAGTATAATACATACATTGACCATTTAAATGTACTGAAATTTATCAGCTGTGCAGATAGATTGAATATAGTTTGGTCCATTGTAATCTGATGTGGGATTTTCAGGCACAGCTTAATTATGAAAGTTTTGAATAAGTGAAACAAAAGTTGGTTTTAGCCTCGAATCAATTTTAACAGAGGGACCATTGGAAACTAGACTGTACTGGACAGACATTTCATCGAAGTATAGGACTCCTCAAGAATGTATACCGATGATCGTGTCAGGACTTTTAGGCCTTATGACAAGCGCTTAACATTTAGATTACTAAAATGGAGCCCCCTCTTCCCTCTTCCTCATTTAGGCCTATCCATTTCACCCTGCGTCACCCAGAATCGTACCAAGTTACTTTTTTACTCCTTATATTAATGAACTGGCCTAATCAGTACTTTTCGATAGAACTTTGAATATTCATCTTACAACCAGTGAGCAGGGATTTATTACTTAAAGCCAAAATAATTTTGAAATATCTTTTCACCTTTAATAACACTGTAATTATATTGATCTGATATACATTCTTGAACTGAAGGCAACCTTGTAGGTACGTCTGAACGTTGTTGATGATGACGTTGGTCATTTACATGTTTATATTTCTGTGAAAATTTGAAATTAGTTCGCTGCAAACCATTCATTTTTAAATATTCTGATGACTGGTTCATATTTTCATATAGATGCAATCTATTTGTAGTTACAGATGACGAGATTAATACTATAAATGGAAAAATAATTATTTTAAAATGAAAACGTTATTTACATATATGTTGAACATATATGAATAGTGAATATACGATAAATATTATGATCTTCTAAGTTCTTTTTAAAGTCGATGCATTTAATCTTAACGTACCTTAGCAGGATCATTGATAAACAATGAGGATTTGATGTAGACACAAAACAATGAATTGGCATACAATACGATGATCCTTTCAAATGCGGTATATCTGGGACTCAAAAAAACCCTCATACAACACCAAAGTCCGAGTTTTCGACGCTAACGCTAAGATGGTTATATTTTGCGGAGCTGAAACCTGAAAAACTACCACCACGAGCTAAAGAGTATTCATAAACAACTGCTTACACAAGATACTCCAGATTAACTAACTGGAGACCACAAATAACAACCTGCTCTAGTGGATAAGAAATCAGTTATTTGTTTATGAGTGTATCAGAAAAGGCTTTGGGGTGGATAGGACGTACTTGGAAGAAACCATTAAACTCCACTACAAGCAAACGCTAGCTTGGAATCCTCAACACAAAAGTAAAAGAGGCAGACAAAAAATACATAGTGCAAATAATTGAGGAGACAGACATGTAAACCATGGACACCACTTAGCAATAACAGGTTTAATTACATAGCATTATTTCAAATATTGAAATATTTGTTAGTTTCACTATACAGTTAATAATAATAATAATAATAATAATAATAATAATAATAATAATACTAACAATAATAATAATATCACTAATATCAGTGAACAGCTTGACCAAGTAATTGCAACGATTTTAATACGGATTCGTGATAAGTAAGTGTAAAATACTTAATATTAGCAACAATTTGTAAGGTAAACCATTTATGGTTAACTTTTTCGGGATTTGAACGTGGATTTCCCTAGAAAGATGGTGTATCATTACCATATAAATTATCACCGTTTATGTTAGCAAAAAATACTACTATAAATAATCAGGTCATATTTAAGATTCATATAGCTTTGCGGTTGGAAGTAATTTGAGTACTTTCCTTGGGACAGATTTATGTAGGTTAGTATTCAACTTCAGCAGATCTCAGGAATTTTTAATGGAAACACTGAATTCGGATAGGACTAAGAACAAGATGAAGGTAGCACTTTCTACATCTCAGTGATTAATTTGTCTAAACATCCTTTACATGAAATGTGAAAGTGGATTTTTCTCAACACCGTCAATTGCTTTTTAAACACATGTAGTGTTATGGCCTCGATCTGTCTACTCTAGACTAAGACCTTGACGCAATAGGCCGATCGGTTTAACCCTGAGGCTAGTATGCGTGAGTTCGAGGCGGGGTAGATAGAAGAAAACTATTCTAGCACCTGATTGGCTGGCAAGCACGGTAATGAGAGAAGACAAGACATTTGGAACGCTATTGGGTTTATTGCAATATCCTGATTTCCTGTGAAATCTCTGAATTCAGATTAGTGCAAAAAAGGTAAATGAATAAATAGGTGATTTACCCGACCACAAAGTACAATAATTTAGGATAGAAAATAAGGTGCAAAATATTATGTGTAGATTACAATAGCTTCGGAACAAAAATGGGAATGGCAATGAATGATACATCGAACGAAAGCTTATGTTCTGTAGAATAAAATAGGGACAAAAATAAAGGTAAGTGTTTTACAAGCTGTGAATAAAATGAAATAACGTCCCGAAAAATAGCCTTCGTAGTTTGACAGGGCTTCTTGTTTCTCTGTTCACATCATGAAGATTCGCATTTTCCCGTTTTTGATATTAACTACCGTAATTGATGAGTTCATTGACTAATGTGAATTCGAAGTAAATTTTACCGACACTGGCAAAAGTTACGAATATTTCGTATATTTAAATTTTAATTAGCAGTGAAATCAACAACGGAAAAATATAGAATTTTACATACAACTTCATGTATGTAGAAAAATTTTAGTTCTTGTATAGACTCAGTAGTTTGATGAATAACGCGCTGGTATATATATATATATAAATCAAGGGGCAAGTAAGGAATATAAGGATGAAAGCAATTTATGGGTCAGATAATATTCCGATTGATAGATATGAAGTAATAACGACAAACATAATAATAAACTGAATAATAATCAAGTAAACTTGTATAAGGTAATAATAATAATAACTAATTAGAGTTTAAAACTGCAAAACAAATAATTTAAAAAATTAATAATAACCAAATAAAAATGAAGGAAAAAGGAAAAACCCGAAACATACCAATAAAGGGAATTAGGACGAAGGAAGGATGAAAGGTTTGACGAATCTTTTCTTAATGCAAAGCCCGGGCTTGAGTTCGTGGATTGCTAATGCCTCAGCAGTGCATAAAATATTGATCCGACATCCCTTCGATCCAATTCGTTTGACTGTGTAGATTACTTTAAAAGAATACTCCTTTGGAGTGGTGTCCACAGTTGATAAAATGCTCCTGTATACAACTAGTAATTGTTTTACTTTCTCCTTTTAAAAGCCATGCCAGATAGTGTTCTGAGATGCGTTTGGAAAGTAATCGCTTTGTGCAACCTACCTCAATCTAGCAAGTAAATTTATAGATGTACATTGATGTGTCCCAAAGTGGAAGTTTATCCTTAACACATCTATGAATGGTAGGCCAACTTGAGAAAACAATTCGGTGCTTAGCTGTGTAAAATGTTTTATTCAACAATTTTGGAATCCGTTTATTTAAGATTTCGGCAGTCGTGTCTCTTTTGTATTCCATATTCATAAACAGGGTTTTCTTTCGCACTCTCGACGTCTTTTTCATGATAAAGTCTAGGTGTTAAGTTGCTATCGACGAATCTAGGTGGATAACTATTCCTAATGAGAGTTTGTCGAATTTGAAATAGTTCCTCATCTATTGTGTCGGTAGGACATATTCGCCTGATCCTTGAGGATAAAGAATGAATTGAGTTCCTCTTTCTACTCAGTAGAACTCAGATATGAAAATTCGTGTACTGTCTATTCCATGTTAGTTTTCGATACATAGATCTCTGTAAAAAAACTATCCGGCCTTTTTTCAGTTGGATATCAAGAAAACGAAATTCATTGCTTGCCTCTACTTTTAAAGTGAATTGAATTGAGGGGTGACAATTATTGAAACTATTCAAAATTTCATTGAGGTCCATGTCTTCTTCACAAATAATGAAAGTATCATCCATATATTTCTTATATAAATGAAATCTCTCAAGTATTGGTCGAAGTACCGAATTTTCTAGATTGGTCATGAAACAATCAGCGAAGAGAGGACCCAATGGAGAACCCATTACAACTCCATTTGTTTGTTTATAGAAATCATCATTAAATCCAAATTGCACGTTAAGCGTACATAGTAGAAGTAGTTCGTTAGGATAATGCTTTGGGATACATATATCAAGGTTATTGTTTTCAATATAGTCACATAAAAAACAAATAGCTTCTGTGAGGGGAACATTTGTGAAAAAAGAAGTGACATTTAATGAGATCATTTTCTTACCAATTACGTTGATATTTCTGATTGAGTCGACAAAGTCAAAGGAATCAAGAGAGTTGTATTTATTGATATGATTTTTAACAGGTTGTAAAATATCAGCTAACCATTCGGCAATCAGATGATACGGAGTGTTGTTCATATCAAGTATAGGACGTAGAGGGATATTATTCTTATGAACTTTTGGGAGTTCATATAGTCTTGGTATAACAGAACTCGATGGTTTAAGGTGTTCATAGAGGTCACAATTGATAATAAACTCATCTTTCATCTTCCTTAGGATTTTAATTAGCATCTGTTCCGTTTTTTCTCAGTTGTCTTTTTGAACGGTTTCTTTGGAGAATATGACATGATCAGATAATATCGAAGATAGTTTGCTGACATAGTCGAGGCAATCCATAGGGGCGATTCCTGCACCTTTGTCTGGACGACATAACACTAAGTCCTGATTTCTCCGAATATCAGAAAACTGAGATTTATATTCTTTTGTGAGTAGTCGACTGATTGTAGGTATTTTATTTACATATTCATTACAACAGTCTACAAGAGTTATTTTAAAATGCTCATAATCTTTACTAGATACTGGAATAAGGTCATTTGTCTGAAGAATGAGACTTTCAAACTGGATTTTAGTGTTGAGTTCATTAATTTTAGGACCAAGAGATAATGCTTGTAGCTGAATAGTCGATAATGTTACACTGAAGTAGTTGAAAACAAATTTCTCTGGAAATTTCCAAAAAGTTTGCTTCTCGGTCGGTTTTAAATTTTTCATTAATTTCAAGATCACATCTTCCGTACGATTTTTGCCAGCAATATCAATGCAATCTTTGAATTTAAAACGTTGATCTTCTGACAAGTCATATAATGTATATAAACGCAATGAAATTTTCTTTTCCAATTCTGATATCTGACCCATAAATTATTCACATCTTTATATTCCTTTTTTACCTCTTGATTATTGCGGAACTCCATTTGATATATAGTCTCGAATCAATTTATGATGCAATCTTTTCTATCCTTCTATAGACATATATTTTCCATATAATCATAAATACGAATATACAGCTTAAGTAAATGATTTCGTCTAAAATTTTCTTTGCTGACTTAACTTTTTCTTATTCAATGATACATTGGGTTATTTTAATTATATGTAATTTTAATTGTAAATAAAATTTGTAATTCTATCTTGCTGACAGTAGGAAAACCAATTTGTTTTCACGAGAGTTTTCAGTAGTTAACACCTAACTGATTGTGGAAATGCTAATAATAGTTTAATACAGTGGATTTCCAAACAAAATCTGAAATTTTCATTACAAAATGCAGTCGAGGATCAATTAATAGCTTCGTTGTGTTATGAGACTCTTAAGTCAATTGCACACACGACTTTAAATGCAATTAAACTCAAGACCTTCGATTTTATCTCACCGTTATTTCTAGATGATGTAGAACTATAAATATTTAACATATATTGTTCTCACTGATGTCTAGCTTTTGATTTTATTTCCACAAATTCTTTGGGAAAGCCGTAATAATTAGGGTTCATTAAGTCTAAACTGAATAGGTTCCAAATTAGTAACCGAATTGTATCGTGAATGTATTGAGACGAATTTGTCTGTTTAGAGCATACTTCCGAACAGTACTTAACTATAGTGGAACGGTTATCTAATACCCCGTGATTTTAATTTATTTTATTACTGACATCGCTTGACATAATGAGCTTGCCTGAGTAATTATTATTCTAAGAATCGTTCAGTTTTCGAGAAAATGATTTATGGATTTCATTCGTCTATATCTTGCCATAAAATGTCATGAAGTGTAACAATTTATTGATTTGTATCACCGCGTATAAGGTAATCGTCTACGTACATCCAATTTATTTAGTTGACTAACTATGCTCATTTGCTTTCAGTCTGTTACTGTTATTTTTGTAATTTTAAATACTTCCTGCTTGATCTTCGTGTAAATAAACTGTTTCCATTAATCTATTATTGTTATTGTTTGACTACCTTTCATTGAAGCAATTTTCAATGAACTTACTAAAACTCTTAGAGTTGATGGCTATCGATAACGATTGCTGAGTCAATTTTACCTGTAGAATATTTTCGAAATTTGTCCATTTAAAAAACTTATTGTGCTTTTCTGTTCCACTTGCTAACATCCATAGGTTATTATAACATTAAAGAATGGTGTGTTTGCAGTCACTGACAATATCATTTTCGTAGAGACCTCTGTAGTTCTGCTTAGAAACTGGTATGACTTCGTGCTTGAACAGAAGAAACTTGCTAGACACTATTTAAAAAAAATAAAACTTACAACTTATATTTTATTTGAGCATTTCACGAAATAAGAATTATCATAGTCAAAGGTATTTAATGGAAACGCATATTCAACTACATGTAAATTTATAGTACTGTTTACTATACGAAAAGGTAGTCGATTGTGCGAATTTGATATTTGGCGCAAATTTATCCAAATCAAGCATTTTTGTGTAACGAAAAATCCAAACGTCCAATGTTTACTGAGTTGAGGACATACGCTAATAAAGGCTTATGTATGATCGCTGGAAGATGATCTGTGAAGTTATTTTTTACTTATTAACAACGTCATATCGAAAAAATCTTGGATATGCTTATTGACAACTTAGAGAATCGCTCTAAATTTACAATTTGCCCACTCTTTGTATCACTGTAGGTTTAATAATTTTTTATGTATATGTACATCTTTCATTTAGGTGAATTCAATTTAATCATAATAACATTAGTCCTAGTCTTTTAATTTTCGTGATATTAATAGTACTTTTAGTTGGACTATTACATCATTATGAATGACTATACTCTATTTCAAATGAATATTCTTGTGTCTGTCTATACTAGTAACCGCACCTGAATGTCTATTCACCAACCTATCCGTTTGATATTCCATTGTATGGTTACATCAAAATTCAAACATGACTTTGACAATATTATAGTGGATTGAAAAATTTGGGTGAAATACAGTTGTAAACGACTTTCACCCGACTATTTTAACCAGTAACAAAACCATCTAGAAATACTGAATATTTTTCTCAAGCACTTAAATTTCTCTTATACCCTAATCGTACCACGTTACGGTTATTTAAAAAAAATGGTAAGAAAACTTAGAGAATTACCAGTTTTTGACAACTCATTTAGTTTCTATAATTGCAGTATATTTTAAATGTATTAAAATCCATTCTGAAAATAGGTGCCTTTAAGAACTGACATTACTATAGATAGTCAGAAAGAACTGGACAACTGACTCATCCAAGTTGAAGATATCACTCAAGGTTACTGACAATTAATTTGAACTAATGACCCTAAATTCTTTGACGCTGGCAAGTATAATAAATTAAAACCACAGTTTTGGTATCCGACGGTTCACAAATGCTAGCTTTAGTCGATTCGTGTTATGGGAAGACTTTCTATCATCCACTGTGATCAGTGATGTGTTATCTCCATTAGTGATACAAGATGGGTAATCTCTACTAATCACAATTTTTATCAGAGCTTCAGAAGTCCGTTATGAAGCTAGGTCATAGTCACTGTACTATTACTGCTTCTTCTCAAACAACTCTTTTGGAAAAAAGAAGAATCAGGGTTAAATATACTGTAATAAATTTGAATTCGATTACTTACCAAAACGAATAAAGTTGTCAGTAGTATAAATTAACATGACAAATTGGATTAGTTTGTCTAAATTTGAAAATAACATATTTTCACATCGTAAATACAATTAAGTAAATCGGAAGAAATTGAAATCAATGACGTTTTAGATGAGTGATAAAAAAGAATTTATAATGAACAATAAGTTATGAACGGTAATAAAGTCGATTTATGGAACACAAGTACCATGACGATAGTATCCAATATATCTTTGACGATAAAACAATTTTTAGAGAGATAATATTTATGTAATCCTATCATTGATAATGTTAGATATTATAATATCGAATTGATCAATTAATATTACCTGTTTAAACAGCAACAAAAAAAACACGTTTTTACACTCGGTTATTTATTGACCAAACATAAAAGTTTTTTTAAAAATTTAATATGCAAAAGTCAATAGTTAAGAGCAATATGTCATCATGATGGGTTTGAGTTGTCCCGTTCTCGATATATTAGAATACAATCTAGCTCGACGTTTATTGGTAAATGAGTGTCTTAACTGGATTACTAACCCCTATTAAAAATACAAGCATCATACTTATTGAAAAAGTTTGTGGTTATATAAAATAAATACATCAATGTAACGTATCCCCGTTTGATCCAGAACATACTGTGTTTGAGTCCCGATATGAACATTAACATAAAGATTCAAGTTCGTCCACCTGACGAGTCTCGAATTAGACAAAACTGGTATCGTAAATTTCGTTTCTAACCGCAGTCCTTATATACAGTATGTGAAATGTAGTGTTTATTTTGGATTATTTTCTTCAGACAAAGTGTCAAAATGTTCGGCCTCTATTCGTTCCTGATGAGAAAAGAATTCTTATTGATTTTTCTTTCAATTTCTACTAAATATCGTAAGTGTTTGGTTAAGTAAGTTATAATCTATTTTGATATCATCATATTGGGAAACGAATACACTATGTTTTCAATTTCTTTAATACTTTGGTCGATTTGGCTGGTTTTTTAAACTAATTCATACTTTATGATCCTTTTTCAGCTAGTCAATAAGTGGAAGACCGTATATTATTGGAAAGTTATTTCATCCATGACCAAAACGTGGATTAAACCTCTTAAACCTAACAAATTTAGACCACTGAGTTTTAATCTAATTGTGTGTATTTACGACTTCCCGCAACTCGCTCTATGAGTGGATGGTTATCCAGTGTCATTAATGATATGTCTCATTATAGACAAGACTAAGTTCCAAAAGTCATGTTTGATCACTCGAGCGTTTCAAGTACCGCGTGATATTAATCACTAGTGAGCATGTGGTTAAGCCTTTCATTGTGTTTAACATGCTATTCGCATTTCCCGAAAATCCATGTAGATTTTTTAGATGATGGACGAGACAGGTCTCCAGTGCTTCCAGGTTTCCAATTTAGATTGGATTGTGATTTCAATAAATTCCAACAACCTCTATAACCCCTATTCTGCTAATTGGTTCCGTTTAAGAAATAGAACTTGTTCTGAGATTATGAATATTTCACGTAATATTTTTAAGCAAATATAGAAATCCAACTGAAGGAATGCCAACATTTTCATTCATTTCCTACGGTGAGAATAGATAAGTAATTGGTTTTTCAAAGTAGGTCATTATCTTGGTACCAGACTAAATAATAAATACAGCTTTTATAGCTTAGGCATAATACTTCAGAAAAGAGATTAAAAATTATGCGACAAATCACTCTGTATGCTTCAGTTGAAACTATTACTGCCGATTAAGTCCGGTTTTCCCGAGTCTGCTCTTCACAAGCTTTAGTTAGGCGTCGAAATATTATTGAATCTAATATTTTAGACACTAAATTAGTCAAACTGATTCCTCTGATTGTCCCAAGAGGACTTTTGTCCTTTCTTATAGACTGATACAATAAGTAATTGAGACCAGTCAGATGGGAGTACGTCCAGTTCCCAGATTCTACACGTGATTCCATCTGACTGGTCTCAATCACTTATTGTATCAGTCTATTAGAAAGGACAAAAGTCCTTTTGTGACAATCAGAGGAATCAGTTTGATTAATATAGTGTCTAAAATATTAGCTTCAATAATACTTCGACGCCTAACTAAAGCTCGTAAAGAGTAGACTAGAGAAAACCAGGCTGGTTTTCGACCTGGACATGGTTGTATAGATATTCACACTACGTCAGGTCCTAGAACATAGTTCTTCTAATGTACTATATCTCCACATTTGTTAAAATTCATCCCGATCATCTTAAAATAAACAAAAAGCTTGCAAGTGTTAAGAACTAATCACAAGAAGACTAGATGAATTACTTAACGACAGTGTCAACGCGTTGATACGTTTGTCAACAATATGTACGCAAAATTTAAGCTCTATTTTGTAAACAAGTCTGTTTGCATACTTGCATATACGTATACGTTCATGAGAAGGATAAAACATATGCACAATTTATGGTCAACATTTTTCTTTTACAAAGTCATACTGAATGGTTTTTTCAATAACCATTTGAAAAGCGATGAAGGTAATGTACATAACAAATAATGACACATTTTAATGGATCTGTGTTTTTATAGCAATTCATCTCATCTACTTTCAGGATGACTAGTCAGATGTCTGCATGAATTACTGAACAAGCTAGTCTTGAATAGCTAAGAAGGGTTTATTTCGAAATAATCCAATTCTTGCGAAAATCGCTATCGATACCAACATATGATTTGTTGTTGGTGTTTTAAGATGTTTAGCTTTTACGTAACCCCTCTCTTTAAGTCGTTTCGTATTTATCAAAAAAATTTTCCTGGTATTACACTTTGAACTTCTTAAAGTTTTGGTATATATGTAGGTAAGAAATGACTGAATATATTCCTAAAGAATGTGGAACTTGTTCATGGATCATGTCAATTAAAATCAATATTTTTAAACTTCATACCGTTTGTAAGCGATATTAAATGAAGTGAGGTTTCAAGCAAAGTAAAATAAATCGGTACTTTTAAATAACGTTAGAACTTACAGTGTATTAAACATCAATGACCGCATTGATTACAGACTAATAGTGCGATATTCACTATTTGAAAAAATTACCAAAATGAATGAAACATAATAAAATACTATAATGTCTGATATAATTGTGAAACGTCCTACCCATTAAATGTCCATAGATAAATTGTGAAAAATGAGAAAATACATGAATATATGGTAAAGAAGAATTCAACATTTCATTGAAGGAATAACAGTCAATACCTTATTTGTAATAAATAACCAATCAGAATATTCTGTATCTACTATGATACTACTTGGTAATAACATACCAGTCGATTATAAGCCATCCTGAACCTGCCATATATATGCATCAATCCTAGTTGATATATCATATCTGTAAAGTGATATAAAATTATCAAAACGAATACCAAAGTTATGGTTGTAGCAATGTGAATGCTATTGAAAGACATTAAATATAGTGAATACGCTTCGATGAAAATAAAAAAATTCATAATATAACACATGCAAGATAAATTTAAAGCTCAGTATCTAACCCAATACAAAAAATGGATATATCTGTGCGATTCTGACCTATTTCAAGACATGTCATAAAACGTTGCCAGTTATTCAACAACATAATCCTGAAAATCACAACTAGGTAGTCTCAACCTGACAACATGACACAAATCAATAGATTCGTCAGCTGATCTCATGTTTAATTTGCTCGTCCCTAGATTTCCTCCAAGTTACTCCAACAGCAAATAATGTCTTCTGTCCGTAGTTAAGCATAGATTGAACATGCCACAAACACTTCAATCTGAGATTTACAACTCCATTAGACGATTCGTCATCTTTTCCCAGTACTTTACGCTTAACTACAGCATTGCTTGCTCTTTCATGTTACAATATTTGAGCAATACTTCGAAGACATCTATGCTCAAAAACCTGAGGCTTACACATATCTTACACCCTCAAAGACGTTTCAGTCAGAGATTAGTAGTGAGAGGACTGTTGTACAGTTCACACCTTACCTAAGCCTCAACTGATGCAAGTTAACATGAGTCAAATTAGTTCCTAGATCCGTACTGAGATTCCGTTAACCGCTTACACATGAGGAATAATGGGAATTCTAATAAAAGTGAAGCAATCAACATGCTCAATTATTTCGCTTCCCGTCGTAAGTTTAGGCTAGGTGTCCCATACGATGTACTTGCTGTTCAACAACAAATTATGTAATAATGACTGCTTTTAACAGTGTGAAACAGTATATGTATATAGCTTGATGTATTAGACTTTTTAATACCATTATAAACCCTCATATGAAATCGATACAAATAAATACTATTCTTTTTAGAGCGAGATAATTTGAACCATAAGCGTTGGATCCATCAACCAAGTCTAAACACGACTCCAACAAAGATGAAATCTGTAAGTTTGAGGCTGTTATGGTTCGTTATTGCTTGAATGCTATTACTGATGCGTCTTACTCGAACGGAACGAAGGATCAATGATTCAGCGACTCGATAGCTATTCTGGTTCGCTGTCCCCGGCTCTGCTAACCCGATCAAGAAGTCTGGGTAAGGTGTAGAAAGTGTATTCTACAGACAAACAGCAGATAACAAGTCAGGTCAAACACACAATCAAGCGTATTTATACAAATATTTACAATCGATATCGTCATGGAAAATTTTAAAACATTAATCAATGAGTTCATTAATTGACCGCTATTTAACATTTAATCGATAGTTCATCAATTGACCTATTTGCACATCTAATCGATAGGTTCATCAACTGACTGCCATTCAAACATTTAATCGATAAGTTGATCGATAAGATAAAATTTAAAAATATGAGTTTGGAGATCTATCGTCCCCAACAGAGGCCACTCTCAGTTAACTTTTCGTTAAACATGAAACCTCAACTGCAATTCTCACAACGTTCATTTGTCGATTTCTTCACTTGAATAAATTGCTTAATAGGTTATAGTTATGATAGAAACTACTACTTCCAACATATCATCCAATTCGTTTATATAGTTAATATTCGTAAGTGATAATCATTACTTGTTAATGTCGATTGAGAAACTATTGGTAACCTAGGTGCA